GAGAGAGAGAGAGAGAGAGAGAGAGAGAGAGAGAGAGAGAGAGAGAGAGAGAGAGAGAGAGAGAGAGAGAGAGAGGATGGTGTCCAATGAACCGGACTATCTACTGCGACCTTAAATTGAATACAACAAAATGCAACGCGACCCCTCTGTTGCCCCTATCTGGCGATTTCCACTCTACTACTAAAATGTAGGACCTTGAGATATACAAGGCGACCCTAGGCACCCCATAATTTGAGTATCATCTTACTTATGCGAGGATTTAGTACCTCGGCAGTGCTGGAAAGGTGCCCTAAGTGAAGGTGGGCCTGCAAATATGTGCCAATACCTGTTTATAGGCATATGAGACCAGGCTGAGGGGCCCAATCAGAGCCTGTTGGCATGGATCTTCGATGAGGCCTTGCTACCAGTTAGCTCCTCAGCATGCCCCTGTAGGACCCTTTCAGCAAGCATGAGCCCGCCGTAAGTGAAGGTGGGCCCCTGAATTTCAATATGACCTGAGTTCGTCAATTTTGGCAAAATTTGATGGGCCCCAGAAAGTCGCCATGCGCCAGTTGGTTACATCGTCCGTACTCGTGAGAATCAGAAATAAATCGTAAGCCTTCTGGGCTCTTCCAGCAGCACAGACGAAGCAGGGAGAACCTCACGGTTACTCCTGGGTGGCTGGGCAGGCCTCACCAATTCGGTCCCAGGCCACTGTCTGAATGGGCCTGGGGGCAGACACTTCAGCCCAAACCGAAGCTAATGGAAACACACGAGGCCCTGCTTGAAAGCCTCACGTTTAATCCTGGGTGGCTGGGCAGGCCTMACCAATTCGGTCCCAGGCCACTGTCTGAATGGGCCTGGGGGCAGACAYTTCAGCCCAAACCGAAGCTAATGGAAACACACGAGGCCCTGCTTGAAAGCCTCACGTTTAATCCTGGGTGGCTGGGCAGGCCTAACCAATTCGGTCCCAGGCCACTGTCTGAATGGGCCTGGGCGCAGACATTTTAGCCCAAACCGAAGCTACTGGAAACACACGGGGCCCAGCCACACAGCAAACTGGGCGAGCACTTTCCATAAAGGAAAGAGCTCGCCACTGGGGGGCTCATTGGGGTCACTAGGCAGTGCCTGCATCAGCGCTGCTTGAGCGTATGGTTGCAGGCTGTGCGCTGTGCGCTAGCGCTAGGTGCCAGGCAGTGCGCGCGGGCGCTGGAAGAAAGCAGAGGGCGGCCCCATAGCCAGCCCTACATAGCCAGGGCTTGGCTTGGATAGCCAGTGGTGGTGGTGGTGGTCTTTGTGTATGAGGAGGAAGACGTGGGTAGACAAGACGAGGGAGAGAGAGAGAAATGAGGATGATGATGTGAGGGCACGTACCTGGTCTTGGCGATGGTCTACAGGGTCCGCATCTTCGTGTACTTCGGTTGTTGCTGCTGACGTCAACAGGATGCATTGTCAATTCGTAGGCTGGTAGTAGCTGTGTGATTGTAGTCTGGGCGCTGAGCGCCAAGTAGGAGGAAGGGCTCTGGATACATATGTTGGTGGTGGCGAGAGTATGCTCCATTGACATTCGGATTTGGTGCTTTGGTTCTCCGTTGGTGTAATATTAGTGCATTTCTGCTTTCTGGTCAGCGTTGGACTTTCGGGCTTTCAATGTGATTTTGCATTCTGGATTTCTGTCATTTCGCTATCGCTCATTTTCCTTGCACTTATGTAGCTGATACTGCGGTGCGGACATTCTGTTGAGACAATGTTTGCTGACTAGTGCGTGATTGGAGGTTCCTTTTTACTCCCCCTCCTTCGCCGCCAGGAACCAAGTAGTCAATTAACCACTAATGCTCCTGTGTTGTGTGTTTGTCTTGTTCTCCGTGTATTTTCATTCTCTCCCTTCCCTCCCGATCCTCATTACAGGATCAATTGCCGCCATTTGAGACGGAGTGTGCCATTCAGATTGTGGAAAGTGAGCTTGGTGGAAAGGTGAATGAGATCTTTGATTGATTTGATCGCGAACCAATTGCTGCGGCCAGTTTATGTGTGCTCCACATACTCCTCTTCCTTACTTTCTCTTGTCTTGGTGATTGGAGTTCAGTGCTTCCATCTCTCCCTGAATGGAATGCTCGCATGGTCATTATAGCGGTAAATGGGGCGACTTAAAAGTCTGCCTAGATGCAGTGATAATGACTGTGCGTTCTATTCAGGAGGAAGGGGGGGGGTGGGGGGGGGGAAGACGGTAGGTGATGTCAAAGTCAGGGAATTACAGACTGGAGGTTTCTTAATTCCATGTTTGTTGCAAAAACGAATGTTCAAAATGGAAAACAGAAGAATGGAAAAAGAAAGACGAAAAGAGAACAGCTGCATTACGGTCACTCTGAGGGCACGCTCGCACTGCAAACCTGCATAATCTTAAAAATAGTAAGGCCTGATTTGGGGAAATAGTGGTGGTGCCAGTCACACCACGTCCCCAAATCTCCCATTTCCCGGCCCCGGCAGCTCACCCGGTGCGCACACCCTTTTTCCTCAACCGCTTTTCTGTTTTTTTTTTTTTTTTTTTTTCCCAACTCTTTCCCAATTGCTATAGGGCCAATATCTTCGTTTACGAAATTTCTATCATTTTTTGAAAGTTAATTAAAAAAAGATAAAGGAATTTGCGGTAACCTCCGGAGCTTACCGCAAATCCCCAAACCTGGGGGCCGCGGACAAAAGGGTTTTCACGGATAAGTGGTTTCTGAAAATGCAAACTGGGTGTGACTGCTCCTCGACACTATTTTTTGGGGATTTTTGGAATTATGCGGATTTGGTACCGCAGTGTGAGCGTGCCCTGAGTGATGTAAAATAGTGGAACCCAGAAAAAAAAGTGAATGATACAGCGTCTGGTCCGCGTGTGTCAGAACCACTCATTCATTCGTCTTAGAACAAAAAGCATTAATCCTGAAGCTGGTTTCACTTTGAGGAAAGTGCATATATCCGAAAGACGTCTTTTTTGTCTATTGAAGGATTTCACGTGTCAGACCCCATGTCCCGGTCCCAATGTCCCAATAGTCCCAGTATTGTAGCTGAACCGGCAGGCCCAGCGGCCGAGAAACACCGATTCAGGCCCGTGGGTTGTTAGGAGTCCGAAGTAGCTTGGAGTCCGGTAGGTCCGGTACCTGACGCGCAGTAACCTGCTATGGTGCAGCTAGGGTATGAGCTCCGAGTGCATTCGGGGAGAGAGAGAGAGAGAGAGAGAGAGAGAGAGAGAGAGAGAGAGAGAGAGAGAGAGAGAGAGAGAGAGAGAGAGAGAGAGAGAGTACATGCCTGAGTGTGAGGGCTTGGCGGCCATAGCCTGCTGAAACTTCTGTTGGACACTTGCAACAATTTTGTAATTTGGAGAAATACCTTTACGAGTTTCTGCGGATATGTCTCGTTGCGTTTACGGAGAAGCGTATTGAGAAGCTCGAGGAGAATAGACACTATGAGGATGAGTGTGATGCACGGCTACTACGCTTGGTTCTTATGGAAATGAAGAAAGATGATGAAGCGGAATATGTAAAGATTGAGAGGAAACCGGGATGCGCAGGTAGAAGGAATGAATGAGGTGAGACTCTCAAGGAGGAGAAGGAACATTAAGACAAGAAAACCTGAGGATGAGAAACTACTCTGCTTTCGGGGCGGCAGGAGGGCGGCAGGATTGAATTTAAGTGAGAAGAAGAGAGATACTGATGTACCCTGTGGTAACAGTCCTCCAATGGTCACACCCACGGAAGAGCAGAAGACCTTAACAGAAGAATCCAAGCAGAGAATTGAAGAAATCAACGAGAGCAAGAAAGGCAGACTGAGTTCATCATCGATTATGGAACCTGTGGGGAAGATCAAATGTGTGACTGCTGGATGCAGCATGGGTGCAAGGGAGAAGTTGGAAAGGGATTGCTGAGATTTATATGAAGCATTGGTGATATATGAGTTTTTAAAGGAGCCTTGTCGAAATAAGAAGATCGCCTACTCGAAGCAGGAAGTTGCGATCAAACGGGGCCAGTTACGAGGCGTGTACTAGAGGCCTATGATCCCTTGAATTCCACTCCCGGAATCCCAGAAGGCAGTGACGACAGCAACTGGAGTTAAGTTGTATATGAGATTGAATGAAGACAATGATAGTCGGGATGATGGTTCAGAATGAAGAAGAGTTGAGCGCTTATGAGCGAGGAACACCGTTGTGATGAAGGTAAGAATGATGTGAGTGAAAGGAGGATGTGTGTGCTGGTTAATCAGTTGATCATGATGGGGAAGGAGAGTTGGGGGTTGAAGCTACTACAGTACTGGAGAGTAGCATGCTTGGAACAGAAGTTGGACTTGTCGTCTCCGCAAGGCTGCATGTATGTCTTGATCTCTCCTTGGTGTAAGCAATTGTAAATTGGAATGACCAATAGGACATAAGTGCACGTTGGGGAGAGCATGTAGCACGTGGGAATAAGGTAAAGAACAAGCGGAATGAGAAATTTATATAACTGACAGGGGAAGACATGTTTTCATGATTATGTGTCAATCCCTCTGTTCTTTAGTACGGATAGGCTGGTGCTGGAAGCAGTAGAACGCTCTTTGATCCGGACCTGGTCACCCCCTTTGAATCACAGAGTTGTGTAAGAAGAAGACATGTAACAAGAGGAGGCTGGGGAAGAAGGAGAGGAGGCGGCAAATGTGCCGAAGACTCAAGGTGTGAACATAACAAAGAAGACTCATTTTGTCAGCAGCAGGATTTTGGAACTGCGGATTGCTCCAGAAGGGAATCAACAGTGAGGATGGTGAACTTGTTTCAGAAGCTGGTTACTGTTCGTCGTGGTAAGGAAGCTACTCTAAAGAGCAACGGGGGTTCCTACTTGGACGGATAACTGGCGGGTTCTGCGACAATTGTTTGGGGAATCTTGTTGGTCATCAAAGGAGGCCACTACGAAAATGTAAGGCGTTGTTTGAACAGGAAGGGTGGCTCGTGGTAAAGAGAATGCGGTGGAGGCTTCGCCGAGAAGTTTGGAGCTGAACAAAGATATTGTGAGAATGTTGAAGAATAAACGGAAAGATGCGACACTCTCAAAGAAGATGACTGGGGAGCTTGTGAGATATTATGGTGCAGCTAAGTTTTTGATGAAGACGGGAATTAGAGGAATTGGGACTAGACCGAGTGGTCTTTGACCGAGGTGGGAAGTGGTAATCATGAATGTTGCCAAGAGTAATATGGGATCATAAAGCTCTGTGACACGCTGGTTCCGTCCTTTTTGTTTCCCACTCGAATAATTGCGGATGTGCGATCCCTTGCTTGAGGACATACGCAACCATTCAAGAAGGGAACTCTAACGCGTTGAGTGGAGCGAGCGGGTGTGCTTGGATGAGTGGCTTGTTGGTGGATCACACTTCTTTTGGGAATAATAACTCTCTGAGTGTCGATTCATTGCTCTTTACAGTGAGGCCAGTGTTCAGTTGTGTGCCTGTGTGATTGCTGTTCGATTTGCTATTCCATTCTATGCTGCTATGCTGTCATTCCTTGTGTGCACCTTTTTTTTTCTTTTCTTTGACAAAAAGGGGTTGGAAAAGATGAAGGGAAAATTGCCTCGTGACCCTCAAAGTTGCGTCTATTTGCATCACACTCCTTTGCCCACCGACTTATCCCGGCGCACCCCTCTGGCGACGGTTCAAGTTTGCAAGAAACCCCTGGGGGTTGTTTGGGCCTTATATATTTTCGTCATGGCCCTACCGGTGCCAGGTCAACTTTTCAGGATTGCCCTACTGGATAGCCATTTGGCACACAATTATTTGCCATATTGTTATGATCCTGGCCACGTTCAAATTACACATTCATCAGAAAGTACAATGCCGTCCAATTCCAAAAAGAAATGAATGAACTTGAGAGGAGAGAGAGGGTGAGAAGAAGAAGAAGAAGAAGAAGAAAGAAAGAAGAAGAAGATGATGTACACCAGCAGAGACCACTGATAATGCTCTTCTTCTTCGCCAACAACTCTCCTCCTCCTTATATCTTCTCCTTTGATTCCAAACAAGAATAATAATAACAATGTTGAATGGCTGATCCAGAATCAATGTACAAGTCCCTCTTCTACTCCAGGTATCACTTGAGGTCCACCATAGCCATGGCTGCCCCTCTCTCTCTCTTCCTCATAGGCCGAGGCTATGGTGGACTACCAGGGCATCACCCTGCTGTCCAAAGGACAACACAAAGCAGCTATGGCTCATCTAGCTCAGGCCGCCATGCCTGACTCTGCCTCGAAGCTTCGTGGTGTAGCTCTGCCCCAACTGGGCCTTCCTGCTGCAGCGCCCACCAAGGTGATGAAGATGGCAACAACCATAGCCAGGTAAACACCTCTGGTGCTCCTCTTCCTAGTCCAGGTCTTCTTCCTCCTCCATGTCCGTGCTCCTTCCCCAGCAGTGCAGCCGAGTGTTAGCGCTGCTCCTGCCAGCGCTCCAACCAGTGTGTCGCCAAACTTCCACACCGACAATGAGGAGGAGCAACTGGCTCCTCCTGGAAATATTGCGGCCTGGTTGCCTCTTGGCGAGTGACTTCCTAGGCCGCGCGGCCTCCAAGCAACCGGTACGTCCTCCCTTTCGGAGGGAAACATCATTGCAGACTCTGATATTGCCCCTACAGGCCCTAGACTCAGACTGGTTGGACAGGTACCCTCTTGCCCCGCCACTTGAGTGTTTTCCCTGCTGCAATCCTCAATGTCACGGCCACAGGTACGTATCGGCCCTTCGGGCCCACTGAACGAACAAGTGCCCTTGCAGGTCACACACGCACTCAAGCCGACAAGCACTCAGACAGACATGCAGACCAGCAAGTGTGCACGCACAGACTTAGAGAACTTGGTAACAAGCGGGAATTTCAGCAAGGCATTCATTCCATGAGCAAAACTCAGAAATCAGTTGTCTCAGTAGGTGTTTGATCAGGGCATTACAGTACCCCCCCTCCTAAGAGCGAGGTCCCTTCGAGGAGTAACTCA